GGCATAAGTAATCGTAAATTCTAAAATACTGTTGAAAATGACAACGTGAGTTCGTGCTCGTCATCCATATGCAGATGCGTTAGTTATAAGAAATAGTAACTAGAGGATGATCCTAGTTACAATCGATAGATGTAATCGATAGGCTTAAGATGCCTTTTTGTTTTTATCCCTTTTTTTTGTAAGCGCATGCAATAAAGGTTTTTTTGGCTCAGAACGGCGTGATAGATTTATCCATTCAATAAAATTATAACTATTCTGATCTTACCTCTGTGAATAGAAATAACAACAAATACTATAATAGTAAATTTTAAATTAAGACTCATAATAAATTCCAGTAAATTAAATTCTATAGAAAATCAACGAATATTCGTAACATTATTATCCCCTTTTCCTATTTATGAAGTTGACTAGTATATCTTCTGACAAACTCATATACAGTGTAACTCGTATTAATATTCTGGTACCACGATATGCGCAACATTAATCTTGTACACATTTGCTTTTAATACGTTTGTTTTCATATGTTAAAGCAAATATTTCATTTGATAGAAACATACATTTTACTGAGTCGAGCAATAAATCTATTCTCTTTTTATTAATACACATATTTCGCAGAAAGTCATAAAAATTGTCTAAAAAATATAAAGATACACGAATCTGAATTTATAAAAAGAATGGGATAAATAAATTACTCGCTGATTAGATAAATTTTACATAAGAATAACGACACCTGATGTACGTTTTTAGGAAAACATAAACAAACGTACTACTCGACCAATTTATCTAACGCGTGTACTTGTTCCAAAGAAGAAAGAATAACCAAACGAAATAATTCTCCAATTTCATGAAATATCCAAACATTAATGCTAGTCACTGTAGCCTTATCGTTAACTTATTCCAGGCTATTCCCATGTCTGGACGCAAAACGAGGCGCAAAACAAAAGCGGTTTAAACACGGGCGAGAAAGAGGAAAGGAGAAACGGTGTCTGGCAGGCGGGAAGCAGGATCGATGACGAAAACAAAAACGAACGGCCGCAGCCTGTAGAAGCTCGGATAGTCCGGTGACGTTGGAATGTTTTATAACGGGTGGACCGTGCGTTTTCTTCGTCCCGCCGAGCCACGTTTTCTCCTCGCCTTTCTCCTTTCTTCCCCTTTTATCTTTCTTTCTCCTTTTTTCCTTTTTTCGGACAGAAGCGACGCTAGATTCCTGACGCTGAATGGCTACGATTGTTACAGCGACGACAAAAGTTTAGCTAAAACGCGGCCAGACCCGGTTTCGCGGATTTGTTTTCCCGGTTTCTTTTGCGATTAAACGCGCACCGCAATTGTCCGGTTTCTTGAAAAAGAGCCAGCCTCCTCCTAAGTGAGGTATACTCCGTGCGTCATTGCATAGCCTTGGCGCATGGAACGATTAGCACGAGGTACGCGGTAATTGTTTCGTAGAAGCCAGGAAAGAGTGAATGAGGAAACAGTGAATGAGAAGCGAGTACCTCGATGAATTTCAGACGAGTTCCTAACAGAATTGGATCGATTATTTGAAGTTCTAGTTCTTTCTGTGTTATTCTTGCAATTGAAAGTGTTTTTCATTAGGTGTATAGATTAACACGATGCCTTTAAGTCTGTTTGATATGACGTATAAGAGGAAATCATCTTAGTTCCAAGTTATTCTTCTATTATTCATTAAAATCCTATTCTTTTAGAGCGATTCAATATTTATTTATAATTCAAAAAGGAACGTTATTTGAACTCCTTAGCATCTTTTGTGCTCGCAATTTTTTTATTGAAGTGGCACGTTATAATAGTATCTAAATTGTAATTGTAATACGATACATTAAATGTAAATTAATATTCTTTAATTATTTTCTCGTGAACGTAAAATACTTGAAATAAAGGAAGATACGTATTTTAATAATAATAAATTTTACAGAAATCTTAAATTTAGTTACATTTAATTGAGAATTATAAGAAATATTTTAATTTCTACTTGCAATTTGTTGCATACTGCTTATTATTCATATTCTTTTGTGTTTCATATATATTTTGGCAAATATTTCAACAATTCTAAACACGAGTATGGAAATAAGATGCTTTTTATAGCTCACAAATACATAAAAAAAATCCTAATGCGTACATTTCATCATTTCCTTCTTCAATTCGTTTGAAGACCTTTAGAAGATAATGTGATCTCGTGAAATCATCATCTTTGTAATTCCTTGGGAATTTATGCTCTTCTATTTTGAAATTATACCTCTATTCTCTCTTCGCATCGCTGATTTCATTTAACTTCAATTTACTATTTAGAACCATTTACTGTACCACGAGCTGCAATTATCCAAGATAGAACTAGGAAAAAACTTTGCAAGATTTTCTATCGCGTGACATCGTGGTTCATTTGCAGTCGGTGAATCGAGCTAAACTCCGCGGAAGCGTAAATTTCGAATAGAAACGGTAAGTTTTTCGTCGAACCAGATCCTCAGGGTGAACCTCTCCTCCTTTTTTCCCTTCTTCGCGATTCCTCGTCGATGGCAAGTTTACGAGGGAGGAATTTTACCCCGTCAATACTGTATTAGCCCGCGATAAGTTTAAGCCATTTGAATCCTGAGCGAGTTGGCTGGGCTTTACCTAGCCGGTTCGCGCAACTTTAATGGCTCGCAGATTTAACAGGACACAGGTAGAAACTTTGTTCCAGGACCGAATGAAAAGCTCCAGGCATTCGACTGTCCCTCTACCGAAACGAATTTCTGATTTCGTACACGTACCAACTTCGAAAAGTTTCTATCGTTACACTGTTCCGTTAAAGCTTCGCGAACATTAAAAGGAACAACCAAGTCGGATGGCCATCTCGAAAGTATGATAATCTTACAGAAAACGGTATATCATAATCAAGATAATCGTGTGAAAATAGTATTCTGGCAGGGTTATTGTAATTTACATAGTAGTTTATAAAAGTATTTAGATTATCATTGATTAATTGCAATTGTGAATTTTTATGCATTTATGGATTTAAAGAATATCGAGTTATAACGTTTAGTAGGTGAAAAATATGTTTGCGAAGGTCCTCATTTCCGAATTATGGTCACAAAAATTTGAATCTACGTAAATATCAGCAGTCTAGTTATCATAGAAAATTTTCGTAATTATGGCACGTATGTCACACGAATTCTTCTTTTCTCAAACTTCATTGTAGCATACATCTTCTAATAAATGCATGGAATTCGAAATCTTCTTAAAATATCGAAATATATGAGAACTTAAACACATTGTACAAGTTAATAAGAAAATTAAAACGACGTATTCCTATTAATTTTTCCAAAAATACCAGAAGGAAATATTATAAAAAGAATAATCGAAGAACCGAGCCGACTATTACACGTTGTTAGTTCGAGAGCTTTCGAAAAAGAATCAGATTTTCATTCATCGTTACTTCTTACTTTAAGAGTATCATAAAGTGAGATATTTATGCGACTATAAAGTTACAAAATATGGCTTTGGGCCTCCGTTGGCTCCGTTCCTGATGTTGAAATTCGCGCGAAAATCGCGCCTGTAAAATTTCAACGATTATTACATCGCGCTTAGTCCGTCCCAATAACGAATCGTCGGAAATCAGTTTCATGGACCGTCTCTGTGTGATTCAAACGAATTTAAATCCTACCTACGCTTCCCGTGAAATATCGGTTTAACGACATTATCGAGCGACTGCGTATTTCCTCTGCAATGAAATCCGGCTTTATGCATCAGCATATTTAATCGACAGACGACGACGTTACGTTAATTAATATGTCTGCTAATAACGTATTAATCTATCGTTAAATAGCGCTTCGACAAGAATTAACACGATACAAACTATCATTTGATGATTTGTGAATCGTTTATGAAACGGATTGCTTTATTACTTATTCGAGGATTACGCGAGAATATACAAACTTACAACTTCGAATATTTTTCTTTATCAATAACGTAGATATGGGAAGCAACGAATTAAATTTATACTTATTAGATTATTAGAGCATTATTGTTAGAAACGCTTAAAATCTTTATATGCGCGTATAACAAAATATTCGACTAACATTTGATTTTATCCACAGTTTTCTCAATTTACAGATCTGTTAACATTCGTATCAATTTCCTTCCAGTCTCCTAAATAAATATAAGTGGTGACAAAAGAGTTATATGTGCCATTATTGGAACTCACGAGCATTTTCCGCTATTTCTACGATATTTCGTTGGTATCGATCTCTATGTATTTTAAGCAAACAAAAGTTAAAATACTGCGTAACTGGAATGTAGAGGATTAATCTTTTACAGTAGTTGAATTTGGCAAATATCCCAAAAGAACTGAAAAGCTGCTGATCATGTGTGAGTTTTGCAACGTCATCTCGCTTTAACGGGCTGATTCTGGTTAAATCCTAGACTTTCCTATTTGCTTTTGAAAGAACAGGAACGAATTCCAGAATAAATTAATCTGTTTTCGAGATTCGCATATGATACGTGTTATTTATTACGAGATTCATATTTCCTATTGAATTCCTAATAATAGTATAAATTATGTCATAATATATATTATACATAATTGCCAGATTATTGCTCTGTTATATCATATAGCCGGTAATGTTATTAACATGTTGATTAACATATTTGTTCGTGTAAGTTGCAATTTGTACGTGCAATTAATATTGTCAATCGACAAATGTAAATTACGTTGAAACATGTAATACTTAATAAAATGCCCAAGCAAATCAGACAAGTTTTTTCCAGTAATAATCGATTTATTTATTACTTCATTATTACAATCGCTGTATTTATATAATTACATTATACTTTACATACTTTATACATCAAACCATTTATATCAAAAATTCAATAACCCTCGCGATATTTTAATTCCAAACGAAAAATTAATGTTCCTTCTCGCAGCTCAAAGTAAATTCACCGCCGTGAAAGTTCATAGAGGCGCCTTAGAGTAATCACGATCAATTAACCAGACTCGTGTTTCATTTCAGGCTCTGGTCTATCGAGACGGGAACCTGGTGTCGGGCTCACTGGAAGCCTTGGTACAGCATATGGTACCCACCGAAGAATATTATCCCGATCGGGCGTACCTCTTCGCCTTTTTGCTGAGCGCCAGACTCTTCATCAAGCCGCACGAGCTCCTGGGCGAGGTCTGCGCCCTCTGCGAGCATCAGCAAAACCTAACTGGAGATAGTGGCAAGGTGAGCCACGAATGCAACCGTCCCACAAAAGCCCACCAAGAACCTTCCGGGCGTGCACTTTACGGCCACCGCGTGCATTATCGTTTCATCGTCTCGCAAGCTCGACCCCCTTTTCGCATTCATCCCCTCGGAGAATCACCCTGGCACGCTCGCTCTCGTTCCAGTTGTAATAACGAGCACGCGTATCCAGGCCAGAAATGTTTCGCTCGCAAATGAATTTCCACCCTGACGATTCTTCTCTTTTCTTCTTGTTTAGCTGCTGTCTTCTGCTTTAGTATCTTTACTGATATTTTTACTCGATTTTATTTTTTTCGGCTTCTTCTATAATTTAAAGTTATGTTCTTTTGCACTTGGCACTTTTTAGTACTTTAGTCTTTTTCATTGTGCATTCTCTTCAGTATGTTCAGGATGGAAGAGATTCGGATGTTCAAATGTCATGGTGGTTTCTTATTTTACGATGATTTGCATTATTCTTTGAGCGGGATTTACTTACTGGTGAAACATGTACTATCGTCTTATTATTATCATCTTTGTCTGTGCCTTGTATAATCTACATTTGCGAAGGAAATAATTATGAATATGCAATATTTGATATAACGTGGTATAGTTAACTTATCGAAGCAAAAATAACAGAATCACATTAAATAGCAAAAGATGTAAAACCGCTAATAAGTTCACACAATTCGCTTCGCAATCTCTGAAGGGTCCCAAGTTTTCGAAAGTTCTGAAAGATTCGTTGGGCACGTGCATTCTGTGGCGTTCCAATTTCCGCATCTCATCTAAAACTTGTTTGGCAACGCATATACGAGCAAGTGAACTAATAAAAAGGGAGGAAGTGGAACCGGTTGGAATCTGTCTGGCGTGTTCCAGGAACGTCTGCAACGTTTCGTGCCACGACTGGTGCAGCTGCTAGCCGAATGGACAGAAACATTCCCGTACGATTTCCGGGACGAGAGGGTGATGGGCCACGTCAGGTCCATCACGCAGAAGGTCGCTGCGGTCGACGCTGCGGCCAGGCAGGAAGTTTCGGCATTGCTGCAAAACTTGCTGCTTAGACTGACGGCCCTGGAGAGGTACGAGGAGGGTTTGGCTAGACTGGCGACCGAGGCAACGACAGAGCAACTTTCACAGGTTTGTATAAATGCGCTAAATATGCGCATTAGTACTGTCCAAGCGAATCGTTGCCCTTTCTTAAACGATCGCTTCATTTGATTCATCGTGTGATTCTGGGAAACTTTGTGATTTATTGCGTAGGAATTTAATTGAACGTTTCGGTACTTCAGAGTCTTGATTGACTTATCTGCCGGCTATAGATCATCCGTCTCTGAGAAGGATCTAAATTTTTGTTATTTTATTACGATATAGTAGAGCATTTTAGAAGTTTTAACATTCGTGTATTTTTAATCGTAAAAAAGGCTTTAACAATCAGATGTACGTGTAGTTAAAAGAAGATTTAAAAGTACAGTACAAAAGAACAGAATGAAAGAGAATTAAATTGTAATTGAGAAGACGCTAGAATAAATTATTAATTACATTCTTAACAATTTTTACATGATCTTTAGAGTTTCCTATATTCTGTGATCGCTATATCATTATGTTATCCGCATAATTTCTTAGACCGCATTTCTTAGACCATAATAGCATCGAGAAAACAGCAAAAGAGACTCACACGTCGAACAACTTTCGTTTGCATCAACTATGCCAAATATTAGATCGTTTAGGCGTACAAACGTTCCAGAAACTTAACCGTATTGATCGAGTTTAACAACGATTACTCGATTAACTGTAACCACGGCGAAGTTCCGGTATAATGAACCGATAATATTCTGTCTATGGTACTTGTTCGATCGGCCGTCCGTTCGTTCCCTGCACCAATTCCGTTCCCGTAACACGGCACTCTTGTTACCGTTTAAATGGCTCGCCCATGTCGTTTGTGCTTATATCGATACCAACGCACTTCTAGCATTTGCATCAGTACCATACACATGTGCTATGGTTATCCAATCGTGTGTAAACGTTTGCATAAGGCGTTCCCGACAAGCATCCCAGAGCTTCTTTTCGAGTATCCATTTAAATCTTGCATTCTAAAAATAGGTACTCTGATAAATCTTTCGTCTTCAATTCGATTAATATTGAAGAAAGTATCGATAATAATACAGAAACTTTTATTGCATTGTCATCTGAAAGTTTAAAATTCAAGTCCATAAGACAGTTTTGAAAGCAAATAACATTATAATTAAATGTTAGATGTGCTTTTAACTAATTGAAGATTTAGTAGTTTGTATGGATACGTTTACATTACAATTTACAATGACAATTTACATTTACAGTTAATCTAAACAAACTGCGTAGGTATTCACAAGCCACGTGCAATCTTATTTAAACAAAAATACCTTGAAACATTAATATTATCGTCTACAATAGCTTAATTTCAACCATTCCGTATTTCCACGCACCAAAAACACAATTAATCAAAACAAACATCCACGGCAGAATTACAAGTTCCGCTCGAGATATTCCCAATTCATAATTCTCTAATTTTCCGCTGGAAATTACGAAATAATAAACTTAACGTTCCCCGTTCGGTTTCTTAATCCCAAGAGAAATTTTACTATACGCCCGGTATCATAAATCGAATTTGCGTACACTTTGTACGTGGCCATAGACGCGTCGATGGATGATACTTCTGTCAGTGTTGAGAAAGTAAAATAGCTTCCTTTCCCCGTATCAAGCAATTCCCCGTCAAACTCGATTTTCCAGCCACGTTCTCTCCTTTGACAGACGTTTCAATATTTTCCCGGAGACACGGAGACGCGATACTGATAACATCCTCGAGGGATACGCGCGGATTTCACCTATGCATCATCCCTGTTTATACATGTTATTCGCACGGTGTGCTAATGCACACGTTTCTCATCGTTGTGCACGCACATGGTCTTCTATCCTTCGTACTGTGTATACTAGCAGTACGCGTGCACTTTGCGCAGTTAGGCTAACAGGGTTATGTAGTTTCACCGTCGACATGGGAGACAGTAACTATTCTATTTAATTTGATTATCCCTACGCCTATCTGCCACTGCGTGTAACACCTACTAATAGCTAATTTGCAACTGCATTAGTTAGTTAAATATGCCGGCGTATCGTACCTCGGCTAATCAGAACTGAATTGCGTGAGCGCCGACCGCTACAAGCTTCATCGATGATCGTGCGGCCGGAGAAATTACCGCATCCCCAATTGTTTCGTTGTGCGGTTGTCGCTTCCGTTCCGGAAACCTGTTTCGGATACCACTGCCTCCAATTCCTGGTTATGTTACCGTTCGTTCGATATCCTATGTATGTCTCCATTTCGAGGAGAAATTCCGGGAGATATGTGTAGAGCTGGTTTTTCTGAAACGTCTTGAAATCAGTATCCTTAATGTAACGTAGAGTAACGCGGAGATAATGACTGTCCATTCTGTTGGATTTTAGTAGCCTTTTTCGTAAATGTTTTTCAAGAAAAACAGGCGAATTTTTTTGTAGTTTATACTGATATCTAATGTAACACTGTTTTGCCTTCTAAAAGTGATAGATCTTGTACTACTTTTTATTGGTGCCTTGTGTAGTTTCCAGCATTCTCATTCACAAGTGGAGAAAATAAAGAGTAGAAGAATTTGTTCGCGAAAGATTATGAAGAATTATAATTTGGATTAAACAGAAATATATTGATTACTAGAATTTTGCAGAAATACAGCGAGATATTCACTGGAATGCTGGATTGTAATCACGAAAAAAGAAAATAGTATTGATTACGCGTTTGGCACATAATTTTAATGTATTTAGAAAGATGTTAGGTATTATACTTATTTCTATCTAAACTGCCGTATATTAAGTTGAAAAATTATAATAATCGAATGTTACCAGTGTTTGAATATTCGATATCTTTGATGTCTTGATATTGTAGTACTTTGTATATGATATCTATGGTATCCAAATAATACAATACCTCGATATCTCCATATGTTAAACTTCTGATAATACTTCGCATTCTGATATTTGATAATCTTGATGCTTTAATGTCTCGATACAGCAGTATATATCACAATTTCTTGATATTTCGATACCTTTAAACCTCGATATCTTGATACTTGATAGCTCGATATAAAGTCCCATGATGTCATATTACTTCAGTATCCTAATAACCAATTATAGGTATCCCAATTAGTATTCTAACATGCCCATACGTCGATAGGTACAACAAAAGTTTCAATCAAAAACTGTTGTAAGATTAAGATTTAAAATTATTCTAAAAGCTATTTTTGCATATTTAGAAAGTAACAAGAATGTTAATATATATATCCTAGAAGTAATTTTGCTATTAAATTTTAATGAAATACTATTCAAAGTTCTTTAGTATCAAGCTCTGTTTATTCAGATTGCTAAATAGTAATAACTGTTACTAGGTAAAAATAAATAATCGTTCGTTTCTAAAATACTTCATCTTCTCGGCGACGAGGCATTAAATGCATATTTTATCATGGACGAATGAATAATAGTGCCGTTCTTTGTGATCAAAGGGAGATAAATTCCCTGCGGCATAATAAATAACATCCTCATCTAAACGCGGATGAAATTGCTCCATTGCCTATCAAAAGTTCCTGGAAATTGTTAAAAGCAGCTTCTTTAACCGGCAATTTTAATATTCCTTCTCTATCATCATCTCGTAATCTGCCTCTTGGTCCCCTGGAAATTGTTACGATAGATATAACGCAGCCTTTTTTCCCCGAGGTGTTCCCTTTATTTGGTAGACATGAAAATATTAATATGAACGCAATTTTCTATATCCACAACGTCAGGAAAAATTAATATTGTATACGTTTAGTGGGTTTCCTCTCACTTCCTTGTTTTTTCTTTCTCTTTCCCTTTCTCTCACTCTACCTTTTTCATAAGGAATATTAAAATCATCAAATACAGAATAAATGTTAAAATTCAGTCACACGTGCAAGGCTGACATGATTTTTTTGTAAGAAAACGATACAATATGAATTATTCGTATATGTTGAAATTGAATTTGTTAGCTTTCTTTGTGTGAAGTGTGCTATAATGACAAAAATAATTGGAAGAAATATTTTGATACTGGATGATATTATCTTTAGGTGTATGGCGTCTACTTATCTAACTACACATCTTATTTAATTAATTCTTAATCACATACAATTATATCTTTGTTACAAACATGTAACCTGTTAGATTACTTGGTATCTACTAATTTGATTTATTTACTAAATCACTGTATCGAAATAATTATTGGAACATATATCATTATAGAAGCAAAATAATCATATTACAAAAGTTTTCACATTTAATGATACACTAATGTGCTGTTGTTATTTGTACTTATCTCGTGCAATCGAAGTTACAGAAACATTCTAGAATTTCCTTTAAATCGTAGCAAAGAAATACGTCGATTCAACTTTCATAAAGGTATCATCATAAAATGAATCATCGTATAATCTGTAAACACCGGTCACGCGATATCAAGCCACAGAAGATCATCTAATATTCGTGTTTTAAGGTAATGCACCAAATGTTACAAAAAAGTTTTGCCAAGTTGTTACAATGCAACACTTACAATTAGTATTCGCGTCGAAGAAGCAAAAGGTGGTGGTCGAGTAAGGAGAATAAAGAATAATCCAGAGCTTCCAGTAACGTTCCAGCAACTACCTCGTAGAACGGTATTTGCATGGCCGCTTGCATATCTACGGTTTACGTCGGAATTGCATCGAAAATGCAGAAAGTCGGAGCGCAATAAAAATATAACGCGAGCGGAAAGAGAAGAAGAGAGAGGAGAAGAAGCAGATAAGGAAACGGGTGGGCCGAGCTCTTAGGAAGCTCCGGCTTATTAAAGTGGAAGTTCGCCGCGCTTTTTGAACCCGTCCCTGCGACGTGCCGCGGCGACAGCTTTGCTTGAACTTTCTCAAGAAGCGAGCCGTAACTCGCGAAACCAATAATACGCCCATAATCTCTTTTTCATCCCTCCGTCGCCGCATCCTCGTTCTTCTTCTCTTTTTTTCTCATTCCACGTCGTATTCACCGCTGTAAGAAAAGTTCCAAGCATGGAAGACTAGAAACTACTTGATTGCAAATGGTTTTAT